TCTGATGTGACTGGCTGAGAAGAACCATGTAAGCTGGCAGCCAGGGTTGGAAGGCTTAAAAACGAAGTCAGTACAGAGAATGTAAGAGTTGGAACATCAAGAATCTTAATGGTACCATCAGAACTCCTCATTCCAGCCATCGCTGCGGTCAATCCCAACTCCAGATTTCCCCACCTATCAAGGGCCATTTTTATTTCAGAACTATAATAACTTTAGTTAACTGGGTGAGACTGGGAATATGATAGACAACAAAAATTAAAGAAATGAGCCTTTTATAAGAATTTTATTACTGATGCATCTTAAAAATGAAAGTAATATGTACTGTTAGCATTGAGCCTACAAATAAGCATTTTTCTAAGTGAATATTTAAAAAATTAAAAAGTTATTCTTACCGCATGCCATTGTCTAACTGGCTGGTTTTATTTGTGTTGGCATCCCACAGATAAATGCAAGTAGACTTCTCAGCAATCACTGCTAGGATATCTCCATCTTTATCCCAATCCATGACAACACAGTTGCTTTTTAAAAAGAGCAAAATATTACTATTTACTTACTTATTTTAGGTCTTTTTGAGACAGGGTCTCACTATGCAGTTCAGGCTGGCCTTCAGCTCACTTTGTAGCTCAGGCTGGCCTCAAACTCATAGCAATCCTCTTAGTCTCCTGAGTGCTCAGATTACAGATGTGCATCACTATGCCCAGCTTGATTTACGTAAGTTGGGAATTACTTCAATTACTTTATTTTTCAAACTGTTTAAATATGCTTTGGAACTTTAGTTTTCTGAAATACTCTCTCAAGTTTTTGGAGTATGGAAACGAGAGTCTTTCAAATTGTTGATAAAATCACCTGTCAATGAAAGACTTTGTAGGCAACAGCATTGTGTTTATCCATAGATTCTTTTTGGTCAAATTCAACTATGATGAATTTAGAAGATACATGGCCATTAGGTAACCAAATGGATGTTACAGAGACCAAGCTCATACAGTTTACTCAACGGAGCTTTTTACTGAGTACCTTGTTTCATTTTAGTCATAATGACTGTATAACCACTTTGACTTTTTGTTTCCTGGAATATAGAAATCAGAACAATTCAGAAAACAGAGAGAAATATCAAAATTATAGTATTTGGTGAGTGGGGAAGAACAGGAGGTGAGAAAGGCTGAAACCTTTCAGTAAAACAATCTGATTTGCAAAAATGGTCAATAAACTACAGGAAGCAGATCTGAATTCAAAAAGTCTAGCAGCATAAAGCTGTTTAGATGAAGGACTCTATACATTTTGGTAACTACTGAAACTATCCAGAGAATAACTAATATGGGTAATGATTACACTGAAACAATAACACATCAGCTAGGGCCGGGATTTAGCTCAGCGGCGTAAGTGCCTGCTTGGCAAGCGCATTCATGAATTTGATCCTTGGTACCAAAACCAACAAGCAAACAAAAAAACAAAAAAAAACACAACACATCAGCTATACCTAGTGTAATCTAGTGTATTTCCTGAAAATAGGCAAAATTAGGTCTTTGTTCTTTAAGTAGTATGGATAAAGTAAGTATTTTCCCACAATTTATTACAAAGGAAATACTAAAGTTGGACATTCCAAATATGAAAATTCGTATTTGGGGCTGGGGATTTAGCTCAGCGGCATAAGCGCTTGCCTTGCAAGCAGGCAGTCATGAGTTCGATCCCTGGTACTGATAAAAGCGAAAAAGAAAAAAAGAAAATTCGTATTTAGGCTCTTTTATAATATTGCTGTATCCCTTCTCTATGTGTTTACAGATATAAATTCTAACTTATATGCTGTAGATCTACACATTTCATCAACTATTCATTGCATAAAGAAAATAAAGCGCTTTGTAAATGGAAAACATAAAAGAGAAGATAATGGTTATGTAAGTTATAGAATTCTATTTTGCTTTTTTAAGATAGTACATTTACTTTTTACCTTTCAGGCAACAAAGCTCAAAAAGTTTTGATCTATCTCTGTACTTACCCAGGTAAGTTAATTTCACTTCTTTTTTGACCATGGCGATCAAAGATTTTCACAGTATGATCAGCTCTGAAAGCAATTAGAATATAAATGTGACTTTAATGTTTTATTTATCTGTGTATTTAAAATACAGAGCTGCCACCCAAGCGATTTTAGCAGTCTTTGAAGGTCTCACAATTTGTATCTAAAAATGTCCTATCCAGGAGAAGGTTGTACCAGTATGAACTGTGATGTTAATGAGATGAATGTATTCCTTTTCCCATTATGCACCTGTCACAGGAATGTCTACTGAACAGACGGTAAGGTTACATGAGGTATATAACCCTTAGTTAAAACATTCACTGGTTTCTTACCCTGTTACTGCAAGGTAGTTTCCTGATGCTTTTTGCCAGGTAAACTGTATTGGTGAGCCAAGCCAAGTCTTCTCTATCAATGTGAAAATACGCTAAAAAATAAATACAATTTTTATATTTTCAAACTATGTACAATAAAGGGTTGGTGAGAAGAGATGTCAGAACATCATCATGAAAATGGTAGGATTGAGGAAGGTGAAGGCTGTCATTTATGCTTATTCAAAAACAGTTAACAATAGGAAAAAAACCACACCAAATCACCTAACCAACCAAACACAAGTGGTGGATACAGTATGGGCCTCAAGATAGACAACATCTATTATAAACCTTTTTGTTTTTGAATACTTTTGAATGATAGTTTTATAAACATGTATCTTCTCAGTGTTTTATAGATGTTAAAGACTAAAAGAATTTAAATTTGAATTTAGTTATTTACAAAACTATGGAGTTGAATTTAATAAAATTGTTATTAAAAATACTACATGAGGGATGGGGATTTAGCTCAGCGGCACAAGCGCCTGCCTTGCAAGTGCGCAGTCGTCAGTTCGATCCCTGGTACCAATTTAAAAAAAAAAAACCTACATGATTTTTTAGACATACAAGATGCCTATATGCTCTTCAAATTGTTTTCTTCTTTTGTCTACTAGTTTAGTTATATTTATTCATCATGAAATGTTTAATTTCATGCATGTGGTCAGTGTATAAACTGAAAAATCTCTTTTCATTTATACAATAGAACTGTAGTATCCAATATGCAAGCCATAGACCATATGAAATCACTGAGGACTTGAAAATGGATATTTCATATTTAGATGCAAATATAAAATATATATCAGATTTAAAAGACTGAAAAAAGAATGCAGTAGCCCATTGGTAATTTAATTTTTCTACTGATTACAAGTTGAAATACATTTTGGATATATTGGGTAAGAGAGCATATATTATGGAACAAAATTACATTTTAATATTAAATTACAATCAGGGAGGCCCATATATGTTACGTATATAAGGTTTAGATTCTACTATAGGAGACTTGAGTCTGAATGGCAACACAAAACTCAATGCTCTGAATTAAACATCAGTGAGCATGCACGGAGGAAGCAAGTGTAGCCTGTGTCCACGGGTGCATTCATGTTTGGTAGAGCTCGAGATGCTCTTTCAAGAGTACTGTATATTAAAGCATCTACTTTTGCAATTTTGTGAGTACATGCTTGGGAGCCCTTTCACACAAGTGAAGAGTCCTTAGACTTGAATTTCGCTATTATCTTCATTGTAGAGCTGCCTCTGGGTATAATCCTACTACTATTTTTCTTCCACGGGACGCTAGAGAGCAATGATAGCGAATCTTTCAGCTACAAATAGCCCACTGCAGCATGCATGCTATGGGTTTGCCATCTCCGCTATAGATGTTCTAGGTGTAATGTAAAGGAAAAAATACTAGCTTCACAACCAGAAAATCAAGATTTAAATATTGCTTCTCAGATATTAGCTGTCGGGCTTAAAGCAAGTCGCTAAAACTGCTTTACGTGCAGAATTCTCAACTGTAAATCCAGAGTTGAATTTCCTCACTACTAATATTTCATAAATGGTGAAGAACCTTAGACATGGGAGTTAGGATGACCGGTCTATCAATTCCAATTTTCACGGTGATAGCCACAAAGAAGCATTAGGACGTCTAATGCAATTTTTAAACTGAACTTTCCCGTTCCTTGCAGAGCAGGCCAGGGCATATTGCGTGGAACTCGGAAAGCTGAAGCAGCTGTGGCCAGGCCCTGGGGTTCACAAGAAGCCCAAGCCCAGAAACCCTGCGTGTAGAGGTGACACTCATCGCAGGAGAGCTGCGCGTACAGGTACAGGTTTCTCCACAAATAAGATGCTCTTGCTGCCCAGAGAATCTGTAAATTGGACCAGTCCCAGGGAATGCAATTCGAAATTATATTATTATTATTTTTTTTTAGGATGCTGCGCAGTTGTATGGCCTGCCAGGGTTTTAGCCTGCCAGGGTTTTAGTCCCAATAAACAAGTGAGCGCCGTGACCCCGGATCGAGTCAACTTCACTTTGACCCGTTCCTTTTCCTGTAAAGTTTGGGTGTCTTCAGATCCAGCCTGCTCATTTCCGGCCGCGGAGGGGTTCTCTCTTCCCAACCCGCATCCACTCGGTCTGTGTTCCCAAAAATGAGAGGCCTCCTATTGGGCTCTCTTTCTGCTATTTTTTTCCCCCTTTCCCTCATTCCTTCAAAGTTGCCACCGCCATTCTCATTCCCGGGCATCCGCTCTCTTCCCATTTCTCACTCACTCCAGGGAAGGGAATAAGGAGCAGACTGTCTCAAGGGGATGCTCAGTGGGTGGAGGGGAGGGCCAGTGGTCGCGTCTTCCCACCCCCTCGCAATTTGTAAGTTATTTACCTTCATTTCAAGCCTCCAGCAGTCGCGCGACCTAACAACTGCGCAGGCGCACTAGGTCTCCTTTAAGAGGGCTACCGCGTTCCCGTCACCCAGGAGACCGCGCGAGGCGCGGCCAATAGACTAGCGTTACTGAAGGGCGGTGCCTAGAGAGGTGGTGCCTGGATAAGGCCTCCGAGGGGACAGGAAGGAGGCGTGGACTGGGATCACGTGACAGGGGCGGAGCTAAACCCGGGAAGTTAGGCGGGGCGAGGAATGGCGGCGTCTGTGCCTCCTGCCTGGGCTCTAATTGGCAAGATCTTGAGGGGAGCACGGGGAGGCGGGCTCTATGAGCCCTGAAAGGCGCCTGCTTGCTTAATTGTTGCTCGGTTTGTAATTTCAGAAGCCAGGTGGGAGGCCTAGGAATTAAGACGAAAAAAGGCCAGGGAACATTAGCTAGCAGGAGGCTGGAGTTGAGTCACAGGCCAAATGCACCTGCACAGTCTAAGCAAGACGGTTTAGACGACTCCATGTGTCATCTTTTTCATTCTTGCAGTTTTCTGGCCTTTTCTGGAAGAGGTGTGAGCACTAGTTTCTGTCAAGTTGGTTTTTGTTTTGTTTGTCAGTTTTAACCAAATGGGCTAGCTAAGGTGGCAGGAACTTGGGTATCTTTCCCCGAGTTTTGTCCTGCTATAGTACAATGTTAGTGCGTCATTTTTTTGCAGTGTGAAAGTGCAACTTTTGCACCAGTGTCTAAAAACGCTGAAATAATCCACTTTTTCTATCTCTCTCCCCCACCATCAGGTTGGAGTCTCACTTCAAGAAAATTAGTGGTTTGAAATAACCGACGATGGATGTCTGCGGATTTTTTTTTTTTTTTTTTTTTTTTTTTTTTTGGTACTGGATCAAACGCTTGACCTTGCACTTGCCAGGCAGGTGCTTATGTCACTGAGCTAAATCCTTAGACCCATATCTATGGATTTTTAAGAAGGGTGACATTTCTTTGCCCTGGAGTTTCAGTTGGGTCGATTTCTAATTTCAGATCACCTAGCATTAAACTGGAAATCAGCAACAAGTGGAGAGATCTCACATACTTGGAGGTTAAACAACACACCTTAAAATAAGTTAAAGAAGAATCTCAAGAGAAATTTTAAAACATTTTGAATTAAATGAAAGTACAATTTACCAAATTTTATAGGATGTAGTGAAGTAGCACTTAGAGGAAATTTTATGACATTAAGTGTATATTCTAGAAAAGAAAGATCTAAAACTAGTAACCTATAATCTTTCACTTTAGGAAGCTAGATAAAAGCAAATCTGAAGTAAGAGAAAAGGTGTGGTAAAAACTACAGCAGCTACAAATGAAATTGAAGACAAAATCAATAGAAAAATCAAAAGACCAAAAACTGCTTCTCTGAAAAATTTTAAAATTGCTAAGCTTCTAACCTGCCACAGAGGGAGAAGGGTAGGAGGATACAATCTGATTGGCCTTTATCTATTAAAGATATTGAATAAATAATAAAAAATCCAAAAAGAAAGATCCAGTGAATCCTAATGGGTTCACTGATGAATGCTATTAAACTTCTGAGGCCCTTTCAGAAAGCAGAAATGGAGGAAATCCTTTCTATGTTAGCCTATGAGGCCAGCATTACACTAATACCAAACCCAAGCAGAAACACTGCATGAAAAGCAAAATATGGACCAACATTCTTTGTGAATGTGTAAAATATTCACAAAATATTAGCAAATCAAATCCAACAATGCACAAAAATAATTGTACCCTATGACCAAGTAGCATTTATTCCAGGTATGCAAGCATGGCTCCACACTAGAAAAGCAGTCAGTGTAATCCATACCAACATGGTAAGGGAAAATTACATGATGGTGTAAGTAGATACAAAAAAAGTATTTGACAAAATCTAGTATCCATTTGTGATTAAAATTATAAGCAAACTAAGAATGCAGGGGAGCTCCCTGGTAAGCAGAGGCAGGGTGGCCCACTGCAGCCCTTCCAGGGGAAGAACCAGCAGTGTCTCCTGAGATCCATGCCATGTTGGAGCTTAGGACTCTGGGAAGCCAAGCCAGCACCTCCCTTCCCTGGTAAGTGGAGGCAGGGTGGCCCACTGCAGCCCTTCCAGGGGGAGAACCAACAATGTCTCCTGAGATCCACGTCATGTTGGAACTTAGGACTCTGGGAAGCCAAGCCAGGACCTCCCCTCCCTGGTAAGCAGAGGCAGGGTGGCAGACTACACCCCTTCCAGGGGGAGAACCAGCAGTGTCTCCTGAGATACATGCCATGTTGGAACTGAGGACGCTGTGAAAATAAATGACCATCCTGCCGCCCTGCTTAGCAATAGTGAACCTACTGCTACATGGCCTAGAGTCAAATATCCCACTTCCCCTATCCTCCTTCTCCCCCCCCCCCGCCCCGCCCCATTAGCAAATGGGAACCAGAAATCTGAGTGTCTCCTGGGAGGTTGACCATAGCAAATAAGGGGGACTTCCTTCTACCATTTCTTTGAAAGCAAATATTTTTATTACTGTTTTGCTCTTTTCTGATTAATGGTACTGCTCTATTCAATATTCTGTCCTGATAAGTTCTATAGTGTTCTATATTGCATCTCATTTTGATATACGTGATTGAAAGAACAACTATTATAAAGATAACAAAATATACTGTGATACCTATTACTGTTATCCCGGTAACCTGCTGTGAAGTTCTGTACCAATTTTACTGTACGATCTTAGTTGGCTTTATTCTGACATGTTCTGTTATATATTTTCAGAATAAAATTAAAAAAAAAAAAAGAATGGAGGGGAATTTCTTAACTTGACAAAGAATACCTACAAAGAACCCTATAACTAACATCATACCCAATAGTGAGAAATTTGAAACTTTTGATCTTCGACAATGGAGCAGCACTAGTCCTTCCGACATAAAATTGGGAGTAACTGCACTTCTTGTACAAGAGCTAACTTGAAATGGATCATAGACATAAAAATGTAAAACCATAAAACTTCTGGAATATGACAGGAGAAAATCTAGTTGATGCAGGGTATAATGAGGGCTTTTAATTTTTTTATTTTTGTTGTTTTGGTACCAGGAATGGAATGCAGGACCTTGACACTTGCCAGACAGACACGTATGCCATAAGCTATATCCCTGGCCCACGACCTTTTAGATACATCACCAAAGTCATGATCTATGAAAGAAACAATTGATAAAAAAAAAACAATTCATAATTTGTAATTCTGGTGCTTCAAGGTGTAACATCATGAACAGACCAATCCAGATTGAAAGAAAATAAATGCAAGTCATACATCTAATAAGGGTCATATATCTAGAGAAAGATTTAATATGTGTCAGGTGCATGTCCCAACTACCCACAATTAATGTAATCACTATGTATCAAAAATGTGAACTTAGATTTATGGACTGCGGAGGGAGAGAACCAGGCCTCACAAGGAGGTGATCCCCGCCTGGAAACCGTATCATTTTCAGTGTTCTTGGGTTGGGTCTTATTCTTCTTTTTTTTTTTTTTTTTTTGCTTATGTTAAATCTGATGGCATGAGCAGCTATTTAAAAGATAGCAAGACATACCATGGTAGACATTTTGGATTTATTATTAGCTTATGTTGAAGTTCTTTATTACGTTCTTTTTTTTATTGTTTCTACCCTATTCTGTTCTGTTCAATTTTTGCTATGTCTGAAAGTATCTGCAGCTATTTTGAAGAAAACAAAAGGCATTATGGTAACTATTGCTGATTTCGTAAGGTTTTGAAGTCCTGTATCACTTATACTGGTTTGTTTTGATTGGCTTTGTTCTGTTTTAATTTCCTTGATTTTATCCTCTTTAAAATACCCCCAACACCCCCAAAAAACATGGACTTAAAAGAAAGAAAATGGGGGGAAGCGATCTATAGATGGAGGGAGGAGAATAGCAGGGGAAGGAAATCAAAGAGTTCAAAAGTGTTAAGAACACGTACGCACTCTATAAGATGAATGTAAGTATATACTTCGAACAAGTATGAATAAAACGCTATTGTTACATAACCTCTTAAAAGTAAAACAACTCTTTAATAAAAAGATAAATGACCCGATAAACATGAACAAATGATTTGAATAAATGTTTCTTCAAGGAAGATATACAAATGACTAAGATTCCCACTGAAAGTTACTCAACATCATTAGCCATTAGAGAAATGCAAGTCAAAACTACAATGAGAGACCGTATGGCACCATTTTTTTAATTAAAATATAAAAAAATAACAGTGTTATTCTGTTGAGACACTTGAGCCATCATACCTTACTGGCAGAAATTTAAAATGGTATGACTATTTCAGGAAACAATTTGGTAGTTCTTTAAAAGGTTAACACAGACTTGCCATTTGACTTACCAATTTTAGTTTCTCAGATAAATCAAAGCATATTTTCAAATAACTTGTACCATTGTTCATAGCAGCATTATTTTTGGTAGCCAAAAGTAGACATAATACCAGTGTATATACACTAAGGAATGAACATAGAAAATTTAGGATTTCTATGCAATCATCAATGCTATCATCAATAAAAAATTAAATGCTAATAAAACAGATGTACCTTGGAAACATAGTAAGTGAATGAACACAGTCACAAGATGCCACATATTGTATGATTCTATTATATTATAAAACCTAAATAGACAACTCAATAGAAACAGAAAGTTAAAAAACTGGTGTCTTTATTTTGGGGAGTGATGAAAATTGTCAAGATTACATAGTAATGGTGAAGGTTGCATAATTCTTTAAATATATTAAACCCACTGAATTGTACACTTTAAAATGGTGATTTTTTGCAGTTTGCATATCAATGATAAGTAAATTGTAAAAAACTGGCAGATAAGCTGGGGATTTAGCTCAGTGGTATAAGTGCTGGCCTGTTGAGCACAACATTGTTAGTTCAATTCCCAATACCAAAAACGAAAAAAACCCCCACAAAACTGGCAGATAAGCTTCATAAAATCTAGTCTCTTGGTCGTTAAGTAACAAAGTATTTTCTGAGATCTGAGCAGCAAATTTTGGTTTTAATTTGCAGAAATAAGCTGTTTAAATTTCATAACATTACTGTTCAACCAAACAGTGTAATAATCACTTGTTTGCTACAGTTCCTAACCCTTGTCACTTAAAACATATAAATGATAAGCAGTTTCAAACTGGGAAAACTAAATTGTTTGGCAGATTCACCTCTCCCAAGATGAAATGCTGTTAATTTGGTAGTAAGGGTGTGAGCAATATGGCGCATGTGCACACGAGGTATGAAAACCAAAATGCTCTGTAGGTCCTGGGTAACAAGAAAGTCTGTCTTGTTATCGCTGAGGTATGAAAGAGCCATGACCAGTGGTGCACACCTGTAGTCTCAGCACTTCAGAAGGCAGAAAGAGGATCATTTGAGCCACTAGGGGCAAGATAGTGACTTAGTAAGACCCCATCTGCAAGTGAAAAATGAAAAGGGCTGGGATGTAGCTCATTTCACAGGCCCTGCTTGAATCCACAGTAACACACACATTCTCAGAAAAGTTTCATTTCACAAGGTCATGCAAATACCACATTCTCATCAGTTTTTATAAAAGTAGTCTGTGGCCGGATGGGCTGACATGGGATGTGTACTATCACAAGATGTAAAATAGCATATTTAAGAAGCAAGTTTTATTTGTCAAATATCAAAACAACAAATTTTCATCCTTCCAAACGGTATTGTCCAATAGGGTCAGTTAGCACGAAAACATGTAATGATATGTTGAAAATCGATTGTCAGGCTGGGGATACAGTTCAGCGGCTCAGCTCCTGCCCGGCAAGCATGGGGCCATGATTTCGATCCCTGGTATGGAAAAAAAAATCTATTGTTGTCTAGCAACAAAATTTATGGATTAAAATAACATTCATCCTATCACTCACAATTTTATGGTTGATTGGGTTCTTCAGGACGGCTGTCCTCTGTGTGGTGTCCGCATTCAGATCACCTTCATTTCAGTGGATGTGAGGGTCCACTAAGCTCGCTCAGAGGGTTTGCCCTCAGGTGGTGGCTGAGACACCACCTACAGCCAGGCCCATTCCCTACATTTGGCGCTCACTTGTGGGCGCTCTGAGTTCCTCCGCTCCACACTTCCCCTCCTATTTGTCCAGCCCAGATTCAAGGGGGAGGGAAGATCCATCCCACCTCCACATGGGACAGAGTCCTGATGAATTTATGGCCTCCTTTGGCTTGTTACAAGTGCCAACCGAGATCAGAAGCAGAGCCCAATGCAACCAGTTCTAATTTTAAACAGATCATTACCAATAATTATTCTCAAGCTGCAAAGATTCAAAACATGCAATTTAAACATTTTAAAGTTTTGAGACCAAAGTTTTTTTTCAGAAAGCTTCATTAAAAACAAATCATAAAATTACTATGTAGAAAGATCTAGGGAGAACCAGATTTGGAGATAAGCAGTTGAAAATGTGGGTTTTCTTTCAACAAGGAATTTTAAAAGATTGATGGCATTCTTGTGAGTGGCATTACTTTTTTAACATGTGAGAAAACCGACCCCATTAGCAGTAGTAGGATGTGACATCTGCAGGGTCAGTGGCTGCAGGTGTCTGAAGGGCATGGAGTATAGCAATTTGTAATTTCACTGAGCTTGGAATTTTTTTCAGATTTCGTTTCTTTGTCGGTGCAT